TTCAACAAAGCGGTATAGTGGCTGACTCGAAGTCGTACTACTGTCTACAAAATACAATTAATACGGTAACTAAGAGTAACAACGTGTTCCGCTGTAACGTTCCGCTGTAAAAGAGATTAGATTGTCCGCATAGTCACTATTTAGCGTTATTACGCTCGGACGCAAACACTACGTCCGGCGGTGCTTCCGGCGGTTTAATTCGTGGGCGTACTTTCATTCGTTCCCATCTTCCAGAGCGTAGAGACAACCGAATTCGGAAAGCGGCAAACGGTCCCGAAATTACTTTTACCCAGCGCATTCGCGTTGCAGGTCGCGTTTCCTTGCCTTGCTATCGTACTATCTTGGTATAGAATAATCGTTTGGCACTGTGTCCTACTGAATCGCAATTCAAGTCACGACTATAACCAGCACATCAGCGAGAGGTCGTGCGAACCTTTGCGACGGAATCACAAACTCCACATAAACGCGCTGAAATCGCGAGAGTGTCGAAAACTCTTGAGATTGCTAAGATCTATGAATCAGAGGTTGCTTTATTGCGAAATCTGAATGGAAGAATCTAAGAACTTGGAGATTGGAGAATTCAAACATTTGCGCAAACATCGAACTTTATTCGAGAATGCTACAAATAAGTAAAATAATATACAAACAATATGCCCATTGTTAAAATGTATTAAATCAAAAAATAATATGTCAGTAACTCTAAACTTTCTGATATTTCCATTAATTCTTACAGAAAAAATTTTTCTAATTATGAAAATTAAATTATCATGCACAGTAAAAAAATTTATGTATTTGTGTTGGAAACGGTCCACTCACGTTTGTGTTAACAGTTTGAATTTTTTAACATATCCGAGTGTTAATTTAACATAATGTGATTATGTTATTTAAAGATTTTTTGTGAAATTGATATTCAATGTTTCTTAGTGTCAAAATGATACAATTTATGAGTAAGTGAACTAGTAACATAAAAATAATGTGTTTTAAAACGTAAATTCTAAGACAAATGAAATATGTGTTAATTTAACATATCATAAATGTTAATTTTCTGAAAAAAAAAAATGTCCCCACGGTATGTTTACAAACTGTGTCGATGTTATCTTTCTTTGTATTTATTCTCTTACATAATATTTGTATTACCTTCTAACATATTCATCTTGTGTAAAATTAACTCAAATATTTGAGTGGACCGTTTGGGACATGCGATTTATGTTAAATTCAACACATTTTTTCCAACTGTGTGAAAATAATGTCATAGAAAAATTCATTAGAAAACTTTTAACATTGTTGCATATGCTGCAACATTTTGAAACATATGTATCCATCAAATGTATCTGTCAAAATAATTATTATCAATTAACCTTCGAAAACCATAATTAAATTATAATTATTAATAATTATAATTATGTGATGAATTAAAAGGGTGCGATAATTATTAATCATAATAGTATTCTATGATTAATGTAATATTAATTTAATTATATATTAATATAATTAGATTAATCAATTGTATCAATATTATTTTGCAAAAAGTCCCAAAATTCCAGTCTTTTTTCCGCCTAAAAATCTTACCTCTGATTTATAACAAAGGGATTTGCAGCTTTCCTCGATTATCACGGCGACCATGGAAGCGGAAATGGAACGGCAGTGGGCGGACGTTGGGCAGTTAGACTAACGATTGGGACGTCAGGCGTCATGGAACTGTTTTCTTTAATCTTCTAGCCCGCGATCCTCGAGTCTGAACGCACGAGGACCACGTATATATGTCCAGCTTATTAGGGCGGACGAGTGTATGTATGTGTGTATATATACATATATATATGTGTATATATGTATATATGTATATATATATATATATGGCGAAACGGCGAGAAGTGGGAAATTAAAAGGGGGCAAACGCAAGCGAAACGCTTCCCGCGCCTCGCCGCGAATTCTCGTTGACATTCGTTGGACATGTTCCTCTTAATAAAATCTTGACACGTGATGGTCGTACCACCCGACCACGGACGACACAATATCGACGTATCATCTAATCGTAAAATTACATTCTTATCGAGACGGTATAATAATACAGTAATTACGAACTAAATTGGCCTATCGCAGCACCGGGCCGGTCTTGGAGGGAAATTGAATTTTCGCCCGACGGAATAGATTCTCCTCTACTACTTGCTCATTTTCTCCGGCTCTCTATTTTTTCTCTCTCTCTCCTTCTCTCTTCCCTCGTTTCTAAACACTTTTCTTTTTGGCACGATAGACATTAGCTGGTAATCTAGAGATTCTCCTTATTCTTTCTCTCTCCTCCTTGCGTTTCGTCTTCACGCTTACGCTTTTCGTTTCTTGGGTAGAGGTACCGGCCGGCCGGCATCTGGCGATCAACCCTATTCGTTAGATAGCACCTTCGTTATTCAACTTCGTTTCGCGTACTTTCGAGAGCGCGCGAAAGTACACAGAGCAGCAAGTACACTATACATCACTTAAGGGCTAGGTAAGTGTTTCTGACCAAGTGGAGGGATCCGATCTCGTAAATGATCCTTCGAACTCACACGAGTTGTCCTACGTTCCCTTCTCTCTCTCTCTCTCTCTCTGTCTGTCTCTCGCGACGAAAACGCACGATCGGACTTGGTTTATGAAGTGGTCGGAAGTAGTTAAAGCTACTTACGAGACCGATCCCAAGAGAATGAACCGGCCACTCTCGTTTTGCGGTCCAGCGCATAGCTGGACAGCATCTCGTTATTGTATATGTGCATGTGCATATATATATATATAAATTATATGTATATATATCGCGCACATACACATGTATATAAATATCTAAGAGAGCGACTAAATGGAGAGGATTTTTGGAAGGACCGAATATAGACCGTGCAACAAGACGCTACTTCGCGGCTCCCGACGACGAACCTAAATCGCGCTGGTATCTCTGACATAGACGAGAGAAATAAAAGATATACATTATTGCTATCCGCATCATCAAGGAAAGGATTGTTCGTTCGTTCATTCGGGAATTCAAAGGCACCGGCAACGCTTTCCGGGAGGTTTACCCTCCCGATCGGTGCCAACGTCGAACACGTCGTTTTACACGAATGATAATCGTAAAAGCAATTATTTGACGGTTTAATCCTCTATAGAATCTCAAAGCAAGATGCGTTGTAGTGCATTTTTATATTCAAGTTTGTCTCTATTTAAAATTCTCTATTTAAAAACAACAATAAGATGTGTAAAATGTAAATACATATTTATTTCTAATCAAAGCTTCGAGCAAATAGGATTGGCGTTCTTCTTTCTCGGGTAAAATATATAATTTCGTCCATAGAGGATTAATAAATATCATCAAAACATATGTCGTACGTTCTATGCAATTTTTATATCTTATATTAAACAATCACATCGATATTCTTGATCCCTTTCGCCATGATACATTTATATTTATCTGCGTTTCATTTTTTTCTCGTGAGCAAAAATAGATTAATGGAACGGGTCAGAAACTCTGACTTTTAAAAAGTTTATCACGAAAAGTTTGCGTGCCTCACCTCGTTTTTGATAGCATAATCAAAGATATTGGGTGTGAGTATTGCGAGCTTTTAATAACTTGTCTTAGTTTCCATACATTAGACGTATTGAACGTACCATGCACGTGCCAATTATCGAAAGGGCATTGTTCATGACGAAAGAGTTCTTTGAGTTGAGGAGGGTTCCAAGGATACCTATTCACTTTCCTAAGAACTTAAGAAAATTTATCTTGAAGCTTTAGGAAAGTATTTAAGAAATTTACATAATTTCTAATTTCGAGCTTGATTCAAGACTTAATTTTCTTAAGTTCAAGATTGATTTGCCCGTGTCCTAGAAAAATGAACCTAATCATCATCGGTTGAACTTCTCAATTTTGCAAGAAGCGAATCGATTTCTATCTGCGTAAAAAAGAAAGTTTACCGACGTGTTCGCGTCTGCACGGAATTCGCGTAAAGAGAAATTATCGTAATCGCACGCGGCATCGTCATCGCGAATTATATTACATGTCGAGTACACATCGAGTGTATCGAGGTTAGCTATTACATTACAAATATATCACTTTATCGATGGAGCACGAAGACGAAGAAGACAACAAAAGGAAGCCTTTGACCGTCGGCTTTCGCCCGCCGCGTCGTTGCGTTCTTTGGTTTTAATTCTTTCTCATTTTCTCCTTTTTGGTTTCATATCCGTTATCACAAGTTAGTTTCACTATCATAGCGCAGAAACCATCGTTGAACGTGCTGGCGAATCGTAACAGAGATCGCGCGCGATCGCATTTTACTTATACATTCTCCCTTGACTCTCCATAATTGACGCGTCTCGTTGGGCCGGCGGCGATGGATAGATGCGGTCCGTTTTTTTTCTTTCTCTCTCTCTCTCTTTCCTCTCAGTAGGAATCCTTCAACAGTTTCATCTGACGCTCGTACTCTTCGAGAGCAGAACGATTTTTCACTCGACAACATCAATAAGATCAGCTGAGAGCGGAACGCAGGCGTTGTTGCGAACTCGAGGTATGATCTTGCATATGATGAACGATCGAATATTTCAAGATTTGGATTTTATCATTAGCAAGGATTATTGCCATTACTACCTTGCGGCTTCACGAATCGGAAGTGAGCGACAAGAATTTCTGTCTTTCGAAGCGTTGTCAGAGAGAAAATAATTAACGCGTAAATATAGCTATTCGTTCTTCGCGCTCTATATACGAGTATAATATCTTGCTGATCAGCGCACACAGAGAGAGCTGCGTTCAGCCAGGTGCATCTTATAGATATTATTTTATCCTTGTTTAACATTTAGTGAACAACAAGGATAAAATGATATACCCTAAATTCCTGAACGCCCTCTTGTTCTCCTCATCATTATTATCGACGTATTATTTATAATGCGTGTGTTACATATTTTTTACTTGTATAATTTAGTAAGATCAATCCTCGAATCGCTCTGCAACGGCCGCGGCACGTCAACGCGCGAAGGGACGCGTCGGAGAGAAAGAGGCACGTCGTTGCGGTGCTCTTCGGCTCCGAGGAGGCCGAGGCGAGTGAGCCGAGTTGCGATCGCGTTAGCGCTGGTGAATGTGCGTGGTGAGATGCTTGGAGAGATAGTCAGCCCGGGCGAAGCATTTGCCGCACATCTCGCAGTGATACGGCCGCTCGCCGGTGTGGATGCGCAGGTGCCTCGTCAGATCGCTCTTGCCTCCGAACGCGCGACCGCAGAACAGGCAGACGAACGGCCGTTCGCCAGTGTGCTTGCGCACATGTAGCTTCAGATTCTCCTTGGACCTCACGCACTTGCCGCAGAACGGGCAAGCAAAGCGTCGCTCGCGACGATCGGCCTCGCGAGTGACGCTCCGCGCGAGATCGATCATCGCCTCGGTCGGCTCGTGCCGATCGTCGTCGACGGCGTTGTCGTCCACGTCGCCAGCTTCGCTGCTGGCACCGCCACCGCCAATCCCACCAACCCCGGTGGCAGTGGTCTCCGTCATCTGCACCTCCACCGCGTCGCCAGGGTTCTCTTGAACGCTCGCGGTCTCCGAGACGCTCTCGTCACCGCGGGCGCTTTCAGAGAATACACCACGCATCTCCTCGGCGTCGCCCGGATTCGTTGTAGTATCGCTGCCGGTCTCCACCTGGGACGGCTCGCCGGTGCTCGAGACCTGATCGCTGCGCTCGGCCGGTGTCGAAACGACGACTACGCTGTTCTGAGATTCGGGCGCGCGCTGCAACCGCTCAAGCGCGTGATTGAGGCGGTGCTTCTTAAAGGATTTTAGATACCTGAACTGCATGCCGCATACATCGCAGGTGAAGAGCTTATCTGCCGGCAGCCGCGCGCGATGGTTCTGCTCGCGATGTTTGACGTAGGCGGACCGATAGCGATAGCGCTGGCCGCACTGCTCGCAGGTGAACGGCTTGTCGTCGCTGGTCTGGCCGGCGTGTTGCAGCAATGCGTGTCGCTCCTCCGCCGGTACCTCCGTGCGCGCTCGTCCGCTCCACCAGGGCGCCCCATCCGCCCGCTTCCAGTCCGAGAGCGAGCGAGACCTGCAACAGGAGAGGAAATTACGTCGTACGATGTTGCGCGATACGGCACGACAGTACAACTTGTTCGAGGCTCGAGCTTCGAATCGGAGCATCTCGATTAACTGTGCGAATCCTCGATACCGAAGATTGTAGTTAACTTTGAATCATTTAAACAAAATTGGACTAATTTCAATAATTCAAACATCTCGAGAGATACTCTATGACGATTCGTATATTTAATTTGAATAATTTTATTGAAAAAAAAAGTTCAGCTTGTTTTTCGAACTTTGTCATTTGTCTCGCGAACGTTTGAATGGCGCGTCGCAGCGGATGTCTCGGGCGGGTATTGTTTCATGCTCGAATGGAAGATTATGAACTGTACACTTACCCTTTGTATCACGCGGATGCGGCTTATGATAGCGATAAACAATCCCTACGGCATAATATCGCTCTGGGTTTCACGCGAGATTGGATACACGACGGGGATTGCGGTTGCGCAGCAGAGGCAGGCAAGAACACACACATCGTACGCACGTGACGTATTGTTAACACAAACAGTTTGCAGCTTTTATTTCACAAATTGTTAATTTACAACTATGATATGCATTCGTTCGTCTAAGAATCGAAACAAATCAGTTTTTTTAATTTACTTCTTTTTTTACGCCAAGCCAAATCAGTTGTGGCTATCCGCTATGATCGGAACGTTCAGAACGCATTGTCGATATTGGTGGTTTTACGGACGAGAGTAGGTTTTTTTTTCTGTCGGAGTAGGTTTTCCTGGTTTTCCTTCGTGAGTTTCTACGAGATGCCGAATTTTGCCGATTTTTCCGAAACGTCCGATTCCTACCGACATACAGCTGAAATGCATACGTGTACACAAGCGTTCGCGCGTATTTGCATACAAACGCCGTTAAACCGAGACTCAGTTGAGCTCACAAATCTCAGGACGCATTCGCAACGTGGCTACGATTTCACGGCTTTAATTAAAAATTTCGCGACATTCAATTTCGGATAATTTGAAATCGGACCTGTCAACAATCCATCTACCAAAACTTGCAGCACAGAACGAAACGTATCGGATGGACGGAAATGCTCTCGGATTATTCGCTCAGTCGCCTCCTCGGTCGCGTCCGTCTTACACGTCTCTAGTGTCCAAGTGAACGCTTGTACGAGTTGAACATAATGACTCGGTTACAATGAGCTCGGGGACACAGCGCCATTTTTTATTACAATATATATCCCTTTTTTACAATATATATCCTCACATGGTCGTTCGCGATAGCGATGAGGGCGCATGATGGTGTTGGAATTTTTATATCGTATAATTTTCAATTCATAAATAATCTTCTCACGAAAAAATAAGTAATTTAATTATATATTAAATATTTTAGAATTAACCTTTTTATCGTCCTAAAAAAAGAAAGAAATTTTTTCATGACACTTAACTTTTCGTTCTCACAAAGTAGTAAGAAGAGAATTAATTTTATCTGTTGCTAAATATATCTATATATGAATATAATTTTAATTAAAATAAATCTTATAAATTATTCCAATTTTTTGCCGAATTTGTTGCGCTTATACTCAATAATTTAATAAATGGTATGAAGACAAAAATATTCTGCTAAAAAAATTGTGAGATGTAGACTCGATCGTCGCTCGTTCATTCCCTAATCACGTACGAAGGTGACATCACGTCGCTGTGCTATCGCGAACGGCTCGTAAAAATAAACTAGAATATCCAAAAACGAGACGCATTGGTCGGTTGGTCGGTAGTTTTTTTTTATTCCACCGCAAGCGAAGATCGCGCTTCGATAACTCACATACGTGTCCTATCGCAGCCCATAATATCTAAGATCAGCAAGGTCGCACTCGGGAGTTCCGAGTATCACGCGATATCGTACACGTACAAGGTGTTCGAAAAGCAGAGAAGAGCAAACAGTACAACCGGATTAAAAATATATTGATGTTATACTCGATAGTTGTAAGAGCATTTTGTCGATAAAAAACAAAATATATAATTAATTATGTGTAAAAATATTAATTTAACATTTTTTATTAATATTATGATATTGGCGGCAAAAAATATTTAGCTCGCAATATTTTTTGCGTCAACTATTTTCTTTCTTAGTGCATTTCTCTTGATATAAAATTTAAAAAAAATTTCAATAGACACGATTACATAGTGAAAAATTAATAATCTTGTTCAGGGATAAAATTGTGCAAAGAAATCACGATTTGCTGTAATGTTAACGAAAAATGTTATACATTTTATATATATTGATATGCGATTTACATTTTTATTTTCGGTGCTGTTTCGTCTCTTTTCTTCCTTCTTAATGAATCTGATGAATTGATAATTTTATCGATGTTATTACCATGAAAATTTAATGATCCCTAGAGTGCGACCAAGAAAATCTCGAAACAAGTGTAATTGAAGTATTATATTAAATGTTTGATTGTGTCGCTTTTGTGACAAAAAATTGAAGATACTTTTTTTTGGATTAAATTAAAATGTCTTTCTCAAATGCGATTAAGAAACCTCAATGATACTGCCTCGCATAAATATCGAGAGCTTTTACGTTCTAAAAACTTGATTTTCTTCCGAGCTATGACAAGCGCGAGTTATATTGCTCTTAATTTTCCGCGACAACTCGGTGCATCGGAATATCGAGTGCACATTGTCGAATGCATCGCGGAGAGATCGTAACGGCACCATTGGCGTTTGCGTTCCGTTTACAGCTCTCCCGTATCCGTTCTCGCAAAGTCCGATAATCGAATTACTAACGCCGCGAGATAGTTTCGAGAGTCTCGTCGCAAACAAACATTTTCTCGTTGGCGCTCAAATTCCGTCTCTCGCTCGCTTGAAGAACAACGTTTGCTTTTTTGCTGACAAACTATGTGTACACTACACATTTCCCTCTGTCTTTCAACTGCCTCTCTCTCTCTTTCTCTCTCTCTCACACACATACACACACACACACACACACACACACACACACACACACACAACATGAATACACTCTCTTTTCTTCTTCTTTTTCTCTTTGTCTCTTTCTCTCCCTCTAATATTCGATAATCAAGCGAATGGGCGTGGGTGCTTGGTGTCGAGATGTGCTAAAGTGGAATGGCATGGGCATTCGATTCCTTAAAGGTTCGGTTACATGTGTTGTTACGCTTTAACAGCACGTTATTAAATCCTGGGAAAGCAAAATCTAAGACTCTGGTTGGCACAAAACGAAACGAGTAGTGGTTGCCGCGGGTACCGGCCGCGTCGCGTCACGCCGTGATGGACGGACGGACGGACGAACGAACGGAAACGCCGCAACGAGTCGTTACAAGTATGAAAAATATTCCGGTAACCATTAACACCGTTTAAAAAAGTTATTGCATCTGGGTAACCTATGTTGTATAGGTACACGTTTCTCTTTTATCGTATATTGTACAAATATTGTTGTAAGTCGGTAGTACAAACGTTACTGTAGAAAACATAACAATTCGTAGGTTTCGTATGTCTTTCGTATCGTTACGGAAAGCTTAAGTGTTATACAATCTGTTATTACTATATGCGAGATTTTTCGATCTACAGGGTGACTCTGAAAATATTGAACACTGTGTTGTCTCTGCGTGTGTATATGTGTGTATGTATGTGTTAGATGTGTGTACGTGTTTATGATCGCGCGATCTCTCTTTCCTTCTCTTTTCCATTCTCTGTATCTGTTGATTACCAGAGGAATCAAAAGCCGGGGAATTGCATGAAATTAGATCTCGTTGTAACCGAGCCTCGACAGACGGGTGTTACTTTCCTCGGCACTTCGGGAAAACGTTATTTAATTGTAATGTTGAAAGAAAAAAGCGTTCGCTTTGTTCCATATACATATCGCTTCTTTATTTCAAAAGTAACACAAATTAACAAACGTGACATACGAGTTATGCTTTGTGAATTATTATCATAAACGAGACAAGTACAATTATTACTCTGTCAATTATTAAAAGTAACCTAAATTCATAAAAAATTGTCGCAACTCAAAAAAGATTTTTCAAAAGTTGCGAAACGAAAATGACAAACATGTCGTTTGATCATATTAAAATTATATTCTTTTTAACTACATATTATTTAATTAATCAACTGTTTCCTGTAAAGTTGAAAAGTAATATTTTTTCTTTTCTGAAAAATTTAATTTTTTAAGTTGTGTCATTTTTGAAGAAAGGGATCAATATGCAAAAAAAAATATTTGCAAAATTTACGGATCATTTATGCGGCCTTCTTCCCACCGACTTTGCGACGCGCGTGTTTCTTCCGTAAACTGTTAACGCGCGCAAAATGCACGTTTCGCAGAAGAAAGTGACGCGGAAATGCATTCGTGGATCCCGGGCTATGTGCTTACTAAGTATCGCGATTATACAATGTTATTCCATGGAAACAATGACGGAAACGGATGTGTCTTGGACGCGAAATATGCAGCGGGTGCACAATACGACCGACGTCCGACAATGTTGATAATTCTCGGTACCCTTTAGCTTTCGTTATATCTTTCAGCGTTGGTATTTAGTCGACGACGTCTCGAAACTCCATGAGAAAATGTCGCGCTTCCAAAATATCTCAAAGAGTCAAGGCGTCTCAAATATCTTTGCGAATTATATCTCAAATATACATATTCCCCGAATATGCGATGCTAAATTTACTTTGAAAATGTTATACGCTTTGCACGTAAAATATACATATCACATTTACATGTTGCCGCGAGTTTAGCGTTTCGCATTGATATCCTACTCTCCTTTCTGATACATGATCGTGGCCTTCGACTGCATTTCGGGCAGAGAGATAACAAATTGTTTTGCGAACGCTTTCGCACACGGACGCCACGGGATGAAAGATACCACGCGTACAGGTGAGAGATACCCCCCTACATCTGCACATCCACGCGCAAAGTACGCATCGCGTATACACGGTGCGGTAAATCGGTATTCATCAAACGCGGTTATCGAGCGTCGGCGAGAGCGTCGGCGAGCTGCACGCCCCG